TCATAAAGGAGAGCTCAGGCTGACATGTGGTGGGTATCCTTCTGGGACAAAGGTAACAGAAGAAGAAACTGGCAGCAACCCTTACTGTTCTGCAGCACCTGCAAGTGATCCCCAAGCAAGCAGGATCTGGAATGGACCACCAGCAGTCCTACAGCAGAGAGGCCTGACTGTTAGAAGGAAAACTAAAAAGCAGAAAGAAATAGCTTCATATCAACAAAAAGGATGTCCACTCAGAGACCCCATCCAAAAGTCACCAACTACAAAGACCAGAGGTAGATAAATCCATAAAGATGGGAAGAAACCAGCACAAAAAGAATAACACCCAAAACCAGAATGCCTCTCCTCCTCCAAGTGATCACAACTCCTCACCAGTATTGGAACAAGGCTGGATGGAGAATGAGTCTGATGAATTGACAGAAACAGGCTTCAGAAAGTGGGTAATAACAAACTTCTTTGAGCTAAAAGATCATGTTCTAACCTAATGCAAAGAAATTAAAGAACCTTGAAAAAAGGTTCTTTTTTCAAAATTTTTCGAAATTTTTTCGAAATTCTAATGAGCATAAACAGCTTAGAGAAGAATATAAATGAATTGATGGAGCTGAAAAACACGAGAACTTTGCAAAGCATACGCAAGTTTCAATAGCTGAATCAACCAAGCAGAAGAAAGGATATCAGAGATTGAAAATCAACTAAATGAAATAAAATGAGAAGGCCAGATTAGAGAAAACAGGGTGAAAAGAAATGAATGAAGCCTCCAAGAAATATGGGATTATGTGAAAAGACCTAATCTACATTTAATAGGTGTACCTGAATGTGATGAAGAGAATGAATCCAAGCTGGAAAACACTCTTCAGAATATTATCTAGGAGAACTTTTCCAACCTAGCAAGGCAGGCCAATATTCAAGTCTAGGAAATATAGAGAACACCACAAAGATATTCCTCAAGAAGAGCAACTCCACGGCACATAATCATCAGATTCACCAGGGTTGAAATGAAGGAAAAAATGCTAAGGGCAGTCAGAGAGAAAGGTCAGATTACCCCCAAAGGGAAGCCAATCAGAATTACAGTGGATCTCTCAGCAGAAATCCTACAAGCCAGAAGAGAGTGGGGGCCAATATTCAACATCCTTAAAGTAAAGAACTTTCAACCTAGAATTTCATATCCAGCCAAACTAAGCTTCATAAGTGAAAGAGAAATAAAATCCTTTGCGAACAAGCAATTACTCAGAGATTTCATCACCACCAGACCTGCTTTACAAGAGCTCCTGAAAGAAGCACTAAACATAGGAAGGAAAACCAGTACCAGCCACTCCAAAAACGTACCAAATGGTAAAAAGCATCAAAACAATGAAGGAACTGCATCAACTAATGGGCAAAATAACCAGCTAGCATCAAAATGTCAAGATCAAATTCACACATAACAGTATTAACCTTAAATAGAAATGGGCTAAATGCCCCAGTCAAAAGACACAGACTGGCAAATTGGATAAAAAGTGGAAAACTATCGATGTGCTGTATCCAGGAAACCCATCTCACATGGAAGGATACATATGGGCTCAAAATAAAGGGATGGAGGAAGATTTACCAAACAAATGGAGAGCAAAAAAAAAAAGCAGAAGTTGCAATCCTAGTCTCTGATAAAATAGACTTTAAACCAACAAAGATCAAAAGAGACAAAGAAGGGCATTACCTAATGGTAAAAGGATCAATGCAACAAGAAGAGTTAACAATCCTAAATATATATGCACCCAATACAGGAGCACCCAGATACATAAAAGCAAGTTCTTAACAACCTACAAAGAGACTTAGACTCACACAATAATAGTGGGAGATTTTAACACTCCACTGTCAGTATCAGACAGATAAATGAGACAGAAAATTAACAAGGATATCCAGGACTTGAACTCAGACCTGGAACAAGCAAACCTGATAGACATTTACAAAACTCTCCACCCCAAATCCACAGAATATACATTCTTCTCAGCACCACATCACACCTACTCTAAAATTGACCACATAATTGGAAGTAAATCACTCCTCAGCAAATGCAAAAGAACGGAAATCATAACAATCTCTCAGACCACAGTGCAATCAAATTAGATCTCAGGATTAAGAAACTAATTCAGAGCTGCACAACTTCATGGAAACTAAGCAACTGAGTGTTGACTGGATAAACAATGAAATGAAGGCAGAAATAAAGATGTTCTTCAAAATCAACAAGACCGAAGACACAACATACCAGAATGTCTGGAACACATTTAAAGCAGTGTCTAGAGGAAAATTTGCAGCAATAAATGCCCACATGAGAAGCAAGGAAAGATCTAAAATCGACACCCTGTCATCGAAATTGAAAGAGCTAGAGGAGCAAGATCAAAAAAACCCAAAAGCAAGCAGAAGTCAAGAAATAACTAAAATCAGAGCAGAACTGAAGGAGACAGAGACGAAAAACCCTTAAAAAAATTAATAAATCCAGGAGCTGGTTTTTTGAAAAGACCAACAAAATAGACCACTAGCCACATTAATAAAAAAATAAAACAGAATAATCAAATAGATGCAATAAAAAACAATAAAGGGGATATCACCACAGATTCCACAGAAATACAAACTACCATCAGAGATTACTGCAAATAACTCTATTCACATAAACCAGTAAACCTGGAAGAAATGGATAAATTCCTAGACACTTGCACCCTCCCAAGCCTAAACCAGGAAGAAGTCGAAACCCTGAACAGACCAATAACAAGGGCTGAAGTTGAGGCAGCAATTAATAGCCTAACAACCAAAAAAAGCCCAGGTATAGATGGGCTCACAGCCTAATTCTACCCCACATACAGAGAGGAACTGGTACCACTCCTTCTGAAACTATTCCAAACAATCCAAAAAGAGAAAATCCTTCCCAAATCATTTTATGAGACCAACATCATCCTGATACCAAAACCTGGCGGAGACTCAACAAGAAAAGAAAACTTCAGGTCAATATCCATGATGAACATAGATGCAAAAATCTTCCATAAAATACTGGCAAACTGATTGCAACAGCACGTCAAAAAGCTTATCCACCATGATCAAGTGGGCTTCATCCTGGGGATGAGGTCTGTATATGTCCAAGGTATTGACAGGGGTTGCTGTGATCCTCTTTCTTATCTCCTTGCCTTAGGGAGAAACTCTTGCTGGTTCCCAGCTGATCCCAATTTGGGGATGGGGTTATGGAGGCCCAACGTTTCCTCCTGTGGCTATCCCAAGTTTCTGTGCTCACCCTAGAAAACTAGGGTTTCTGTTACTCCTCTAATGTACCCTGGTGCTCTTCCTCAGTTAATCTCATCAAAATGTAGTTGTTATTCGTTGTTCTGTTGTCTTTGTGAGAGGAATGAGTGCTAGGGGCTTCTAGTTGGCCATCTTGCTTCAGTGTGGGAACTTTAGCCCTCCATTCTACATATGTCAGGCTGCTTGAAGCTCTTCCACAGTTTAATGAAGCTTGCTATTTTTTTCCTTTTCTTCTGTCAAGTCTAATCTGCCATTCATTCTTCCAGGGCATTTTTAATTTCAAACAGTGTAGTTTTTCATTTCTAGAAATTTGGTGTAGGTCTTTTTAAAAAAAAAATCTCACATGTTTCTATTTAACTGTTTTTTTTCTTTGTTTTTAAGAGTTTTATGGATTTTTAGGGATTTTAAAGTTGCATGAAGGGCCACGGGGTGAAGAAGTGCATTACTTTGTTAAAACATATCAATCTCTCCCGTCAAGGGCGCCAGACTACCCTGCCTGGCAGGCACGTGCTGCCCAGTGTACCTTACAGCTGCAGCTGCAGGTGATGCAGAGATACCCACTCCATCCTTGCACAAAAACACTGGGCAAACAGCATCTGCCACTTACACTTCTGGCCAATGTCCAGGTTCTGGTGTAACCAACTCTCCCAATGCCACGGTTTCTCCCTTTCCCCAAAACATCTGAGCAGTTTCAGAAACTATCACTTCCTCCAGAGAGACTGGCCAGCCGATGAGAAAACAGCAGCTTTCCCAGCCCTGCCTCCAGGCGGTAAGTCCTCGAGTCTCCAGGCTACCCGCAATTCCAAGACTCACCCTCATCCATCACTCGTTTGCTTACACGCTGAAGGCCCTGGAGAGCAGGCTGGCCAGCCGACGGGAAGTCAGGGCCGTTTTACTTCTTAGTGTGAAATGTGAAACACCCAAAATCCAGATAGAACCTCCAAACAGTCTTGTTTCCTACAGTCCAGAGTGAGGCAGATGCTTGGGGTAGGTGGTGGCGCCTCTCGATGTCCGCACCCCAATGGGTGCAGAGCCAGAACCAGATGGCGGGGCCAGTGGTAGTGGATTTGCAAGCAGGGCAGATCTAAGGAAGATGCCTCTTCATTTCCCAGGACAGAGCAGTGGGTTCCACAGAGAGTGATCAAGAACCCTGGGCAGCAGCCCAAGTTCCCCATATCCACGTGGGGAGGAAGTCCCTGGGCAAAGCAAAGCAGGTTCTCTGGGTTGGTGGGGGGCGGTCTGCAGCTGCTGAGGGCTGCAGACATCTGGGTCCCGAGATGCCTGCTGTGGTGGGGATTGGTGGAGACATTCTGAGATGAGTGACTTGATCCTGGGCCCACCAAGGGGGCAACAGAGGGAAGGTGGGCAGCACCAGGAGGGTCCCACAGCCCAGGCAGGGCTGGGGCCGGGCAGGGGCCCTCACGCCAGTGCAGAGTGCTGTGTGGCCTCGGCAGCAGACAGTGCCAGCTGACCACACCCCATCCCTGGACTTCCCTTTTGACTCAGGAGAGACAACCACAGGCACTGGCCCCGTGCCCACTGGGGGCTACATTTACAGTAACTGGGGGCACGCCGAAAGGCCCAATGGGTGTCATCTCTGATGTCCAGGGAGAGAGAGAGTAGGGTTCGGGGGTGCTGGGAGCCAGCCTCACGGCCTCTCCCTTGGTGGGCTCTGGGCCTGATGGTACAAGCCCAGATCCCCTAGGCTCTGGGTCAGGGGACAGCTAAGTGGGGGATGCAAGCAGAGACCACCAGACCCCTGCAATGACGGGCTGGTCCACTGCTAGATGCTGGACCAAGCTTGGTGCCAACAGTGCCACTCTGGCCGCCTAGTGGCTACCCTGCTGCCCTCCGAGCCCCAGGCCAGCCCAGGCCTCACTTTCCACAGGCAGCTGTGGGCAAGGGGGCCTCCTTCCCTTCCTCTTCCACCGAGAGCATGGCAATTTCGCCACAGCTGCCCAGAGGCGGTTCTGTCTCCTGCTCGGGGTAGTGTGGGCCATGGTCTGCCTCCAGCTCCTCCTCCTCCAACTCTCACTCTGCTGGCCCCGCCAGGCCCTGGCCCTCGGGCAGCTCAGCCTTCATGGTCCCCACAATCACGGTGTCAGCCTTCATGATGTAGATTTTCTCAATCCTGTTATTGGTGTGTTCCGTGGGCACCCGAGGCTCAGGAAGGTCCCTGGGTGGTGAGGGGCCCCCGGCTGGGCTGGCATCCCACAACGGCAGGCTCTCCAGGCTGGCTGCCCCCACGTTGTGGCAGATCTCCAATGGCTGCGCTGGAGGGCTCATTAACTGCAGCTCTTCTGCGTGGGATTCTGTCACCGACACGCCACTCCTCACCTGTGTTGAGCTCCTCCTGGGTCTGGAATCCACAAGCTCCAGCTTGAGCCAGGAGGTCTGGACCGGGTAGCACAGGTGGAGCTTCTCCCGAATTTGCTTCCTGCAGGCCCTCTGGTGGCACAGGAGGAAGGCGCTGGCGCCGACCACCACGGTGAGCACCAGGCTCACCCAGAAGAGCACCGGCCCTGAATCCAGAATGGGCTTACCCGTGGAGGAGAGAGCAATGGGAGCGCTGGTTGGGATGGGCAGTGTCTTACTGGCCTGGGAATCCACCAGGGAGCTCAGGGTGGGGCTGGTGCTGGCGGGCGTCTTGCCATTCTCTGGGGTGAGGATGCAGTCAGGGGTCACTGGGGTTGGCGGCTCAAAGGTGGTGTCCCTCTCAGCTACATCCTGGGGCTTCGTGACCATCACTGCTGCACAGATCGGGTAGGTGACACAGCGGGCACAGGAGTTGGTGACTGACATGGCACAGAACATGCCAGGTCGACATTCGCAGATGCGGGAGGAGTTCCATGCACCTGGCGTCTTCTCCACGAGGTCATCTCTAGAACAGCTCACACAGGCCATGCAGCGGCCGGCCCTGTCCAGGTAGTAGTCTGGTTCACACTGCTTCCTACACTCACCAGACCCCTGTGGACACGGCTGTGTTGGGGACAGACCTGGATGTGAACTAGGCCATCCCGCAGAGGAGGGAGCGTTGGGGGCCATTGTCAATTTAGAAGCAGCTTCCTGGGCGAGGCGGGCAACCCCGCTTAGAGGCATGGTGCTGGCATTATAGATTGCTGGGGACACCAGAGTGGGCTTGGCCTGGAGAATGGTGCCACTGGTGGGGTCCTTGCAGTTCTCCAGGCTGGCACAGGCAGCGCTGACCCCTGGGAAGCCGGCTCACAGACAGTGTTCTTCTGTGCTGTGCCTGGGAACTTGACAATCATCCCTGCTGGGCAAACGGAGTGGAGGAAGCAGCGGGCACAGGAGTTGACGGCAGACATGGCACAGAACATGCCAGGTCGACATTCACAGACACGGGAGGAGTTCCACGCACACGGCCTCTTCTCCACAAGGTCATCTCGAGAACAGCTCACACAGGCTGTGCAGCGGCTGGCCTCATTCAGGTGACAGTCACGGTCGCACTGCGTCCTGCAGTCAACAGACCTCTGTGGGCACTGCTGTGTCGGGAACAGCCCCTCGGGGCATCGGTAGCAGCACCTTCTGATGCTCTCGTTGTAGTGTGGCTGGGGTTTCCACAGGTGTCCTTGAAGGGTCGATCTTTCCCCCAGGTGAGGGCTTGCAGAGCTGGGACAGGATGTCTCTAGCCAGGGCTTTGCCCCTCTGCCCTCTGGGGAGGAAGTGGGGACCACCTCACATTGCCCATTGGAGATGGAAGGGGGCATCTCCTATTTAACTTTTTGAAAACTACAGAATACAGGTTTAATGATTGCCTAATGTCTTTGTCGGCTTACTCTAACACCTGTGTCAGTTCTGGGTCAGTTTTGATTGATCCATTATTCTCAAAGTTAATGATATTTTCCTACTTCTTTTCATTCCCTGATGACTATGTTTTGATGCTAGATATTGTGAATTTTACATTGTTGGGTATTGGATACTTTTTTATTCTGTGTATATTTTTCAGGACTATTCTGGGATGCAGTTAAGTTTCTTAGAAATAGTCTCATCCTTTCAGACCTTACTTTTATGATTCTAGTGGGGCCAGAGTAGTGCTCCATGTATGGCTAATTGCTTCCCATTACTAAAGCAAGACCTTCCTGGGTCTCCTACCCAATAGTCTGTGAATTAAGTTTTTCCAGACTGGCTGGTGAGGATAGGCGCTATTCCCAGCTCAGTGTTAGTGCCAGGCACTGTTCTTCCATCCTTTCAGCTGACTTCCCCTCACCCCCCACCCCCAGTCTTGGGCAATTTCCTCTCACCCCTGTGCTGGTCACTCCTTCACTGAATATGCAAGGTGACCATCTACAAATATCTGGGTTTCTTTCTCTCTTTGTCTTAAGAACCTTAGCCACTTTTATCTACCTGGGACTGTCAGTTCTGACTCTGACTCAGGGAGACTGCTAGGCTCTGCCTGGGTTTCCTCTTCCAATGCTGTAGCCTGGGAACTCTCTCAAGGCAGTAAGTTGGGACAACCATAGGGCTCACCTGATCTGTTTCCTGTCTCTCATTGCTATCTGATGTCCAATGTCTTAAACCCATTGTTTCATATATTTTGTCCTGATTTGTTTGTTTGCTTGTTTGTTTGAGGCAAGAGTATAAATGTGGTTCCTGTTACCCCATCGTGGGTGGAAGCAAATGTTTCTTCCTTTATTTTCTTAATTTGAGATTTTAGTCTCAATAAATGTGTTGTGTATTCTTGAAGTGTTTTCTTGATAGTTATTTTCCTTCTGTTTTCTCTGTTCTTTCTGATGCTCTAGTTATTTAGATATTGGATCTGGACACAGGTATGCAGTGTAAGAGCAGCTAAAAAAGAAAATAAAAAGATATTGGATCTCCTGGACTAACCCCCTCATTTTCTTTTTCTTCCCCCACCGTCCCTGTTTTCTCTCTCTCTCTCTTTCTCTCACTCACATTTTACTTTATCAGACACTTACTCAATTCTGCCTTTCAAATATTCTGTTGAAGTTTTAGTTTCTACTATTATATTCCTAATTTCCAGGAGATCACTCTTGTTTTCTGAATGCTTCCTTTTTTCATAGCTTTCTCTTCTTATTTAATGAACATACTATCACGTCTATCTAGAATATTAATTATACTTTAAAACACTTTCTTCCACTCATTGCATGAATTTTCAAATTCCCTTTTATTTGATTTATATATTTTATGTTAAAGGCTTTCTTCTATTATAAGGTGATTTCTGGTTTCTCATTTACCTAACTATCTATATCTATATACCTATATATGTATATATATATATATATATATATATATATATATATATATATATATATATTTTTTTTTTTTTTTTTTTTTTTTTTAGACAGAGTTTCGCTCTTATTGCCCAGGCTGGAGTGCAGTGGCAAGAACTTGGCTCATTGCAACCTCCACCTCCCAGGTTCAAGCAATTCTCCTGCCTCAGCCTCCTGAGTAGCTAGAGTTGCAGGCATGCACCACCATACCTGGCTATTTTTTTGTATTTTTAGTAGAGACAAGATTTCACCATTATAAGTCAAGCTGGTCTTGAACTCCTGACTTCAGGTGATCCACCCACCTCAAGCTCCCAAAGTGCTGGGATTACCGGTGTAAGCCACTGCACCTGGCCCTCTCATTCACATTTAAGAGTAGACACTTACAAGCAAATTGGAAGCTCTTGCTTACTTACACAAGAGTAAATTTTATATTTGTAAACAGTAAGCTTTACCAAATTATATATACTCCTCCTTATATCCCTTATTTTAAGGTACTTTCCTTCTTGCTAGCATTCTTCCTCTAAGAGTGTTATCAAAAAGGTTGTGTGTGTGTGTGTGTGTGTGTGTGTGTGTGTGTGTGTGTGTATGTACAGTAAAACTCTCTGAGATTCTGTGTATCTGGGAATATCTTTATTTTATCCTTGTTCTTAGTGGTAATATAGCTGAAAATAAAGTTATATTCATATTGCATATTCTCACCTGTAAGTGAAAGCTAAACATTGAATCCATATATGGTCACAAAGAAGGGAACAACATATGCTGAGGCCTACTTGAGGGTGGAGGAAACGAGGAGGATGAGCATCAAAAAACTACCTATTGGCCAGGGGTGGTGGCTCACACCTATAATCCCAGCACTTTGGGAGGCTGAGGTGGGCAGATGGCCTGAGGTCAGGAGTTCGAGACCAGCCTGACCAACATGGAGAAACCCCATCTCTGCTAAAAATACAAAAATTAGCTGGGCTTGGTGGCACATGCCTGTAATCCTAGCTACAGGAGAATTGCTTGAACCTAGAAGGCAAAGGTTGCAATTGTATTATTTTCACTCCAGCCTGGGCAACAAGAGTGAAACTCCTTCTCAATAACAAAACAAACAAAACAAAAACTACCTATCAAGTACTATGCTTATTACCTGAATGACAATATAACCTGTAGACCAAAACCTCATGACACACAATTTACCTATATAACAAATATTCACATGTATCCCTGACCCTAAAATAAAAGTTAAAAAAAAGAATAAAAAATTTTTGCTCAATTCTTTTTCTAAAATACCTTCAAAACCATCATTCCATGATCCTCTTACACTAACAGTTGCTATTGACAAGTCAGCTGTCTGTCTTGTTCTGAGGTGGCTGCTGGTTCTCTGGAGTGATATATTTTTCTCTTTTTTAAATGTCCTAATGAAGCCATGATACCAGATCTCTTTTTAGAGAAGGATTTGATAGCTCCATGTAATTAAACCCTGCCTACAGGCAGTGTTGTAATTCCCACCACAAGATTTGTGAGACCAGTCACTGAGCACTACCTGCATACTAGATTCTGCAAGCTGAAAGAAACATCCGACCACAGAATCATCTAAATTTTTCATCAGTTTGCTCTTGGAGAGCTTATTATGAGGTATTACATTCAAAGAGGCAAAGACAATGGGAGATTGGCATGCAACCCTGCCCACAAAGGGCTCCAGGTCACCTGGGTTCCATCTAATCAGAACGGAGACAACTGCCTTTGTGTCCCTCCCCAAGGCTTCCACTCAAGCCTGTTCACAGGAATGCTTGGCTTGGTAAAGGAGAGCCCAGGCATATCTGGGTCTCAGATGTGGCATAATATTCAATGTCTATGAAATACAGTGATGCCACTACCGGACCTCAAACTATACTACAAGGCTACAGTAATCAAAACAGCACAGCACTGGTACCAAAACAGAGATATAGACTAATGGAACAGAACAGAGGCCTTGGAGGCAATACAACACATCTACAACCATCTGATCTTTGACAAACCTGACAAAAACAAGCAATGGGGAAAGGAGTCCCTGTTGAATAAATGGTGTTGGGAAAACTGGCTAGCCATGTGCAGAAAGCAGAAACTGGACCCCTTCCTGACACCTTACACTAAAATTAACTCCAGATGGATTAAAGACTTAAACATAAGACCTAACACCATAAAAACCCTAGAAGAAAATCTAGGCAAAGCCATTCAGGACATAGGAGTAGGCAAGAACTTCATGACCAAAACACCAAAAGCAATGGCGACAAAAGCCAAAATAGACAAATGGGACCTAATCAAACTCCACAGCTTCTGCATGGCAAAAGAAACAGTCATTAGAGTGACCAACAGAATAGGAAAAAATTTTTGCAGTCTACCCATCTGACAAAGGGCTGATATCCAGAATCTACAAAGAACTAAGAGATTTACAAGAAAAAAACAAACAAGACCATTCAAAAGTGGGCGAAGGATGTGAACAATCACTTTACAAAAGAAGACATACATGAGGCCAACAAACATATGAAAAAATGCTCGTCATCACTGGTCATTAGAGAAATGCAAATCAAAACTACATTGAGATACCATCTCATGCCAGTTAGAATGGCAATCATTAAAAAATCTGGAGACAACAGATGCTGGAGAGGATGTGGAGAAATAGGAACACTTTTACACTGTTTGTGGGAATGTAAATTAATTCAGCCATTATGGAAGACAGTGTGGTGATTCCTCAAGGACCTAGAAATAGAAATTCCATTTGACCCAGCAATCCCATTACTGGGTATATATCCAAAGGATTATAAATTGTTCTACTACAAGGACACATGCACATGAATGTTCATTCCTGTTCACAGGAATGCTTGGCTTGGTAAAGGAGGAGCCCAGGCACATCTGGGTCTCAGATGTGGCATAATATTCAATTTCTATGATTAGACAATAGCAAAGAACTGGAACCAACCCAAATGCCTATCGATGATAGACTGGACAGGGAAAATGTGGCATATATACACCACGGAATATTATGCAGCCATCAAAAAGCTTGAGTTCATGTCCTTTGTAGGGACGTAGATGAACCTGGAAACCATCATTCTCAGCAAACTGACACAAGAACGAAAATCAAACACTGCATGTTCTCACTCATAGGTGGGTGTTGAACAATGAGAACACATGGACACAGGGAGGGGAGCACTACACACTGGGATCTGT